GTGAAAAGTTCAACACGGTCGTGACTCAGCAAGGGATACGCCAGACAAACCACATTGCATTAGAATTTACTCTCCATCCAATCAAATACCCGGAACACGGCATAAACACGGCGCGCACACGGTCACGCCAAGATCACGGCACTTTTAGACCAATCATATTGCGCGTGAAAAAAATCAGCCAATTAAAATTCTAGAAAGCATCACGGTCACGGCACGTCACGCTTACGGCACTGAGCTTTTCACAGTCATACGAAAACTGCACTACTATCGCTAGGTTTGCGGACTTCACTGAGGTGGAATAGTAGTCTTTCCCGCAGCCGTTATTAGTGTCGTCACGCAACGATCCTTGCCCACTAACGGCTGTTTACATTCGAACAAAATTCTTTCCCCTTTGTGCTCGCTATCAACCAATGATCGTGATTGTGAGTGTGAGATATCACGTGACCGTTGGGTTGCCTGTGATAGATCAGATGCTGAGTTAGGCCCTGGCTAAACGAGGAAGTATATTTCCAGAAACATGTTTACCGCGCGCATGTTTCCTCGATGTTTCCCAGTTTAGCAACATGCGAAACATTGCTGCGTGCAACAAATTTTGCTTCCAAGACGCAAAAAATGCTTTTGCTGTGCGGCAGAAACATTTCATGCTTCCAAGACGCATGGAAACATTGTTACCCGATGTTTCCTGGCAGTTTTACCACCTTAGGAAACATTTAGGAAAACATGTTTCTGACATGTTTCCTCGTTTAGCCAGGGCCTTATGAAAGCACTAGGTTAATTTTTGGCAATTCTACATTTTCGTAAAATCCTAAATTTAGAATCTAAAAATCCCAATAAATTCAGCTTTCTTCATACAACATACCCTTTTCATAGATTTTAGAAATAAATTCGAATGATTAGAACTGAGGAACCTTTTTATTTGATACTAAGGTAGAAAATGTAGTGTTTTATCGATTTAATGCATTGGATGTGGTGAAATTTCCCAAAAACATTGGAAAAAGTTGCCCATACATTTGGAATATTTGCTCTTTTCGGTCTTTTTTCTCTCTTTCCAAAGCAAAAGGTTGTTCTTAAAAGTAAAGTTATATAGCACAAATAAAGTGCGTGACAAAACATCCTAAATGACCCGTAAATCTTCTGTTCTTTCGCTAACTAGTAGTTRGCGTGTTTTCGAGGCTACGAAACCTAAGAAACCATAAGAGGCGAATGTATAGGCCAACAGATAGTATGAGCTTATAAAATCAGCAAAAATATGGTTCTAAATTTTAACAAATTCCTATGAATTATATACCAAAATGTTCAGRAAARCCCGGGGTTTTCAAATCCACTTCTGTTTTTTTGACAGGTTCTGTTTAGTTTCAAAGAGAGACGATTTTCTAGCTTGGCCCAGGTTATGTCATGCATTTTTTCTTGTAAAATACATCCAACAGCGTACATTCAACTCAAAAAGTACGGTGGTTTTTTGCAATAGAATTCAATCTCAACCATATAATACAGTCCTTGAATAGTTGAATTAACTGAACCACTTYTTTTTTTTTTTTTTTTTGCCTAGATAGTCATTATTTTGAGAAAAGATCTAAAAACCGTGTTTTTGAGAAAAAAATTGTATGGGCTCACACAAGGGGTGGAGCTTGAAATCGTAGCTGACCAAATGTTAACAGATTTTTTTCTGATGATCTTATGAATTCGAGTTTGTTGGTTCAGTGGACATTCTGTATTCTACTGCATTGGGAAAACTACCCATTGTCTGGTGGACACTCAAGCAAAGCCGTGATCGGTCTATTTTCGTTATCAAATCGTCAACAAGGTTACTCACTTCTGCTTTATGGGTCAACAAACCTTCCTAAATCAGTCTAAAGCTCTCTCCAATTTTGACACAAGGAACGAGTTAATATAATTAAGTTTATGACAACTCGATTTCTCGAAGTTTCTGCGAAGCCTCCGGGCATCATTATCAAGAGTATTTTTAGAAGCTACGAATTCAGGTTTTTAAGAATGTCGCATCGTTACTACAACAAAAAATGTCTTATGGGAAAAACGATAAAGAGTTTCTCGTAAACGAAAGCATTCAAACATCTAGTTATGATTGCAACGCTATATTTAACATTCAGTGCCCAGTCTAGTTATCCTTTCAAAGCTGGATTGAATATTCAGTGAGGCCTCCAATTCTTTGATGAAGAGCATATGATATTCGCCACTTTACATACATCGGTTCACTGGTCAAGTAAAGCATTCAACGAAATTCATTCTCGAAGTTCATTCTCGCTTGAATGCTTTGTATATTTGAACAGTAAACTGATGTATGGAAGATTGTGGATACGACTGAGACTTTCCAGTCTGTCTTCGCAACGCTTTAAGATCTTGAAGTGATCATAGAGGTCCTTAGAATCCTGATTGTATTTGTAATTTTCACTGCTGTGTTTCGGGTTCGACCCCCGGCTGTGCTGTTTTTCTCCTGTGCCACGAGAATTTTTCACCGGGTTTTCCTCCCTCCGTAAAAATCACGGAAGAGCCCCGTACGGGGAGGGATGGTTGTAAAATAAAAGTTTTTTAAGTTTTTCGGTAGAATTTATAGGTCTTTTTCTACCGCTTTTGTAAGTTTTTTCTCCCAGGGCGATGTTAAACTAGCGAAACGCGTGTCTGGGTTGGCTCCAGATTTCATATGGCCACGACAACCAAGAAACTATCATTCTGTTACGGAGAGTAATGGTTGATAAAAGGATATATGAAAAAGTATATGGAACGCCCAAAGAAAAAAAATCAACTTCTAAATTCCAATTTGATCATTTAACGAGGGCCGCAGGTTTTTTTTAGCATATTATAAGTATTCCCTTCGTGAAACAAAAACGATATGGTTTAATTTGACACAAGCAGCGAGTCAGTGATTAGTCCCGCTTGCATGTGGGCTTGTTGCAAATTATTTATTTTACACCTTAAGCTTAACCGATGATATTTGACTAATAATAGTAAGTGTAATGAGGAAGAGAAAATGAATTTTAACAAGCAGCTGTCACGCAAAGTGAGACTAAAGCCTTTCGTTCAATACAGGGGAATACATGTATTTCAAACATTATGCATTGGATTGAGTTTGCTCTCCTTTTCTCGCTAATTGTGACCGCGGCATTTCGGTAATTAGATACTTTTCAAAGCATTCATGCCTGTCAGGGCTTCGACCATAATCAACGTCATTAGTTATATTGCAGTAGTTCTTGATATTCTCTTGCATGAAAAATGTGCTATCTATTTCAGGCATACATTTCATGATCAACTACAGCACTTGTAACCATTCTTTGTCCTAACCGATCTTCATTTTCCCCCGAGATGATTAAATATTTGACTACACACCTGGTAATTGGCCCAGTCAACAATCTATTCCGTATCCAAGGGAAGATTCCTTTGCTTTCAACTTGCAACCATGACAACTGTCTTTTCCCGCCGCCGTGAACCAGGTCCAATAACTAACCATTTGCCAGACAACATTGAATTGTGCTTACTTCATAATAAAGGCTTTCGCGACATCAATAGGCAAATAACAGTGGATAAAGATAAGGGTTTAGGTGTTCCTTTCTGGATTATGAGTTTTTGTTTTTGATAAGTGATGCCGGCTCAAAGTCCTGCTGATTTGCTCGTTAATTTTCTTTCTCTGCGGTAGGGATTGTTATAATAAATGAATCTTCAGCTATCTAACCGCTGTTTATTTAACACTTCTTAATCTAAATAAATCACAGTAATTGAAAGCGTTTATTTGAAGGGCTTAAATCAAACCAATACGACTCTTGTTGGCTTGGTTTATTTTTGTAATCATGCATTTTTGCTGTACTTTCCTTTAGGAGTAGTGAGTTTATAGAACGCGTTATCTCTCTCATTAGTCTTTTGGTTAAGGCTGTTAAAAGTCGCTTTGTTACTGGGAGTCCAGCAAAGACATTATTTTATCGCATCAAGAAAGTCATTCTTATTTTTTTTCTTGTTCTTTCTTTTTTTATTTTTCATTATTAATTTTTTTTATTTCTTAGTTCTAAATTGTTTTCCCTTCTTCTTCGTCTTCTTCTTCTTCTTC